TAACAAGCCGAAAAATTCTCAACAAAGTTGTTATAAAAAAATTAAGATTTTGTAAATGCAATGACAAGTATAATCGGTGCACAACTACTATTTTCAATTATGATTTACAAGTTAATATAACAAACACAAGGCATGTATTCATAAATAAACACTACAGAAGCTAACCAACAACTAAAACTACTTGAGCTTAAAAAATTTTGTCATCATTCTTCTCTCGTCTCATGATAGAATTTTCAAGCTAGGAAAGTGTAACACAAATTTATTTTAACCAATAACAACAGCATAGAATTTTCTTGTCTTTTGATAGCTACCTTAAATTCGTTAGAAAAATTGCATGAATATAAATGTTAAAGTTTCTAAATTCAAAAATTTTCGAATCATATATCCTATGATTAAAAAATCATAGTAAAAAAGCATGGTGGATTAGATCACCCTAACTGAGTGGAAGTTATAGTTTAGTTGGAAGTTTGTCTGTGTCGAAGAACTAATATGGCCTATANGTGGATTAGATCACCCTAACTGAGTGGAAGTTATAGTTTAGTTGGAAGTTTGTCTGTGTCGAAGAACTAATATGGCCTATACGGAACACAAATTCAAATGCATATAACTACTCATGTTGGATGAAATTGATCAAAAGCACTTTATGGGCAAATGATATTTGATTTCTTGTCTTAGTTAACATCTTTTTCCATTAAGTGACACTTTATAAAACAGTTTTATAACCCAAAATATTAGCAGTTTTCAGTGATTAAATAATACATAAACTATCAATAAAGACAAGAAATAAAACATGAGACAAACAGAGCACTTGGAAGCGTGAATATGGAAACATGAAATGGCCATTTTTAAGTTTTAGCATATTATATATTCAATACACATTGAATATTTGGTCCCTACTGCATAATAGTTGAATAAATGTATCAAGAGAACACCTTTCATTTTTCAGTGCTACAAGGTGTAGCTCAAACCAACCGGTACACTTACTTTTTCTGCCAAGAAATATACATAACTGTTATTGAAATATGAATATGAAGAATCAAGACATTTAAAAATTTGTATAATAATATATACATATAATGAAAAATGGTAGTATAAGCATTAGTAGTTGTATTAAAGTTATTATAGTCAAATAAAAGTTTTTCACTTTTGTTGACATTTTATAGATAGTATAGACATAAATAGATGAAGAGAATGCAAAATAGTTTAAGTATCATAAATATGAGATAATATCTAATGTAACTACATAATTAGATTTTTTATGTATTTTATCAATTTTTTCAACAAAAATTTTCACGTGCGTCGTGCATTGCTAATTAATCCAAATGCAAACAAAACAGGTGCCAAGTTGCTTAAGAAAAACTCGACATATTATCAATTAATATTTTTTATATTCCATTGAAATTGAAAATAACCAAGAAATAATTTAGAATGAATTACCAAGATGACCTCAAATACAATGAATCCGCATTTAAAACTTTAATCCAATTGGAAAATGAATTACAAATCAACAAGAAGTTAACGGAGTTCCAACTGAAAAGATATATACGCATGAAAATACATGTAAAAGCGTTACGTTTGACGAAAATAAACCCTGGATTAAGAATTCGTCAACATTCGTCCCTTACTTGCCATACCAATTCATCGATTTGAATTCCATTCAACACATTCTGGATCAGTGGATCCCATTCATAAAAGTTGATGGGATCTGCTCATCGAATGGTCCCTTTCATTTGAGATATAAATTTAAATTATAAATTTAGATTAGATAGTATTTCTTTTTTCTTTTTGAGTAATAAGCAATCCATTATAAACGCAATTGACTCTCACAGTACGTAAACATATCCCCACAATACACAATACACGATAAAGGAGACGGGATACAACTTAAGAAGCTTGAAATAATATATATATATACTGAATGAGATTTGAATATTCTTTTAATGACCCAGTTCCAATTTCCAGCTACCATTCACAAATTTGATTTGACCAATTAAATAGGGATTTGACTACAGTACCCTTACAAAAAAAATCGGTACTATATCTCTATAATTTACTACTTTAAATATGAGTCATTTCATAACAAAAAAATAATTATTTTTGTGGTTGATTTATAATTTTTTGTGAATTTTTTTATCACTGTTGTGGGTGTTTTTGGTATATTTGTAGTAACTATTTTTATCGCTTTTTCATAAGTACAAAAAAAATTATTACATTTATGGGTATTTTTATCATATTTATAGGTATTTTTATCACTGTTGTGAGTGTTTTTATCACTGTTGTGAGTATTTTTACCATTATTGTGGTAATTAATTTTTATCATTATTTTTGGGTATCATAACGATGGTAAAAGTACTCACAAATATAATAAAAATGCCTATAAATATAATAAAATTCAATATAATACCGAAATTTTGAATTTCGGTACCATAATCAAATCCATTAAATATTCCCTCATGCATGAATGCATTTTTTCTTTTTTGACCAACTTAGAAATAAAACAGGCTCCATTAGAAAAGGTGCATTCAAATGGGCACATGAACCTTTAATGGATTGAGGTCTGATACAAGTGATACACTGCCAATTGCCATGAGTAATTGAAGGGCATGCCTATCCTAAAATGTCAATGTGAGTGACGAATTACCAAGCTGGTGACGAAGTTGGCAGTTGGGGACATTTAAAAGATGAGTAAATGAACGACTTTAATCGGACGGAACTTGTTAGGATTCAGTATATATATTCACGTTCGGTTCAATTGTGATCGACTGAGCTCAAACTAGAGTCAATTTAGATTCTGTTTTTGAGCTCGAATTAGCAGCAATTTACAAGTATTGAAATCCTTGTTATGATTCAATATATGCACGTTTGATTTAGTTATGACTAGCCGAGCTAAAACTTGAACTTGAACTCAAACTAGAGTGGAGTTTAAATTCTTCTTTTAAGCTCAAATTAGCAAAAATTTAGAAGTATAGAAGTCGAAACTGAGGTTAATATATTTGAAAAAAAAAAATCAAATAATAAATCCTTGAACTTAATAACAAATTCTACAATGATTGCTACATCAACGTAATCCTTCATAAATATGTATAATCTATCGTAAAATTATATCAAACAAGTCCAAATTCCTCATAAATCTATAAGAGGAGAGAGCGAAAAAAATATAAACTGTTTATAATTATTTGGGAATACGTTTTAGATTATTCATCTCTTTCAGATAGGGGTTGTTTTATTGTAAAATTAAAGTTAATTGCAAACATGAACATATTCTAGTCGAGTCACACACTAGGATTTGGCTCGTTTAAAAGATTAATTTATTTTTCTAAGTTGAACATATAGATATATATATATATATATNCATATTCTAGTCGAGTCACACACTAGGATTTGGCTCGTTTAAAAAATTAATTTATTTTTGTAAGTTGAACATATATATATATATATATATGAAATAGCCAAAGTAGAGTAAAATGCCAACGAAGCTTGAGGTGACCAGATCCATTAATAGCTGTGAATGAAAGCAAAGGAAATTTGAGTCTATCATCTCTGCAATGCACGTGGAGTGTTTGAGAAATTACATATAAACGTTTAGTCCTCACATTTTTCAACAGTTCTGGAATTGAGTTTATTCTTGGCAATAGAAAAGTCCCACAACAGCAAGATATATATAGCTCAAGATAATAGGGATAAGTCGTAAACACAGATGTCCTGATTTTAAATATCGAAAACCCTTTAATGTTAGGTAATAAGAGATTTATCTCTCATAAATATCCTAGTCTCGACATGAATGGTCTGTTTTTTATCAGACCGAAGAAANGATTTTAAATATCGAAAACCCTTTAATGTTAGGTAATAAGAGATTTATCTCTCATAAATATCATAGTCTCGACATGAATGGTCTATTTTTTATCAGACCGAAGAAGAAATTAATCGAAGTGTGCGTTAATTAATTCAAACACTTTTGACCGTTGAATCCAAAAAAGAGATAAAAGTCTCTCTCCACACATATAACTAAGTAGAAAAATATAGATGATGCCATGTTTAACCCAAAGTATACAAAAAACTTGGCTGTATGTCATTGAGAGATGCAGTAGCCTAACTTTCCCAGAACATGGTTCTCTCTGAAGATTACAAATAAGATTGGGATCGGGTCCTAACGATATTTGTATAAATAGGTTTTATATAAAATTGAAATACATGATTAATCTAATGATTATATTAAATTAAATTCTCAAATTAAGTCCATGTTGACATGCATACCATTAAAAGAATTTAAAAGATTTCTAGCCTTATGCCTAAACAATTTTGTTTTTTGTTTGGATCAACCGTCAGGAATATTCAAATCAGTTTATAAACACTTCAACAAATTTCCCCTTTAGTCTGGCTAAAAATAAATTATTTATACTAGAACTAAAGAATTCATAAAACATAAATCTGTTATGATCTGATTTTAAAAAATTATCAAGATTCAAACATTTAAATTTATAACTTATTTCTGTTACCGCCGTGNCTGTTATGATCTAATTTTAAAAAATTATCAAGATTCAAACATTTAAATTTATAACTTATTTGTGTTAGCCAGCTGAGTTGCTTCGACAATTATAAAGGCCGCTCACCAGCTTGGCCATTTAGCAGTATACACCACCCACGCCATATATCACTAACCACTATATAGCAGAGAAGCTCATCACATACTGCTGTCCTCGGGTTCTGAGAAATCCCTTAGAACCCATCAGAAATCGTTGAATCACAGGCCAATTTCTTCTTCTTTAGACCAACTTCTTCCAATTATACACACAATTTCTTCCATAATGTTTGTCGCGAACTTGACTTGGACTGATCTCCCAGAGTTCATTAGCCACACCGAGCTCACATCCATTGCACCAGTACTACTGTTACTGTGTTTTTTTTCACTTTTGCTTCTCCTGTTACGTCATTTCGTCAAACATCATTCGGGCAGAGTTTTCTTGCTAGATTTTGCATGCTATAAGCCCCCAGTAACTCAAATGTGCTCCAAAGAAGTGGCCGTGGAGCGAACCAGGCTCTATGGGAACGTCAAGGGAGAGACTGTGGCCTTCATGAAGAAAATGATAGAAAGAACAGGACTGGGTGACTCTACCTATGTGACAGAAGCTTTGCTTGAAGAGCCTCCAAACTTGGGCATCGCAGGGGCAAGGAGAGAAGCTGAGATGGTTGTGTTTGGAGCCATTGACCAATTGTTGGCGAAGACCAAGTTGGAGTGTAAGGCCATAGGGATACTGGTGGTAAACTGTTCGATTTTTAACGTGGTGCCATCTCTGTCTAGCTTGATTGTGAACAGGTACAAGCTTAGAGACAGTGTTGCAAGCTATAACATCACGGGAATGGGATGCAGTGCTGGACTCCGAGCCACTGGCCTAGCCCAACAGCTCCTTCAGGTAGATTGGTAACTCTTTTGAGGTCATCAATGGGAGTAAAGAGAGTAACACCTTTAAACTATGATTTTTGGATAGAAAGAATTTTTTTTTTTTTTTTTTGGGTGTGAATTTAACCTTTCGAGTCTCTTAATTAAGCTATTTCTTTTGTCTGCCTCTGTTACTTACGTGACATTTAGAGTAAATTATATATATGATTCTTAAATTACGATTTTTATATCAATTAAGTCCTTAAAATTTTGTGTCAATTGATCTTTTTTATCTTTTTGTGCCATAACGGAGACAGACAAAAAAGTTCAATTGACATAATTAGATAATTTAGAGGTTCAATTGATAAAAAAATAAATTCAGAGACTTAATCAATACAAATGTCATAATTTGAGCATTATATGTGTAATTCAAGTCACGTCAACATTGTCGCCTAACCGTTGAATGAAAAAAATAGATAAGTTAACCTCATTTTTTTAATATGAGGGTGGTTACTATCTTATAAGCAGTGGTAATTATATCAATGGGTGACATCCACTTTTCATATTTCGTGAGATATTATCGGTTATACTACATAACAATGTTAGCCTAGTATGACCGTTATATTCAATATTTATTTCATGTGTATATAGGCCAGTATTTGATGTTCAAATCTGATTAGTCGGATTTGATAGCCTATTTTATGTATTCAAATTTTGATATATAAATGATGACGTTCTTAACACGATTGACAGTGATGTGAATATAAAATGTATTGAACAGTTAAACTTAGTTCAGTCTAAACTTCAGGGCTCTTGGGAATAGGTGGGTAATCATACAGAGTGTTTATAGTGGTTCACTAGTTCGAAAGCTTGACTAATCCACTCTCAAGGGAGTCTCTTACTCCTGAATATCTTGATTATTGGAGAGTATACATATAGTTTCTTAGTGAAGCTACAAAGACTTGTCTTTTTTTTTGAGACTTTTGCCTCCTATTTATAGTTATCCATGGTTCTAATTTGATATGAGACGAGCTCCTTGTCTCTCATTTGTAATAGTCGTTTTTATTATGCAATGACTGCAATGGATATTGGAGTGGTTACGAAACTTACGTCTACTGAGTAATTGTTGCTACAAAGGGGATATTTTGTGAGATCCAACTATTCTCTGCACAGCCTTTCTCAAGATGTAGACACAAAGAGTTGACGTCTGAGATCGAGATTTACAAATATCGTAATTGAGCCGAGCTCCTGACCTTAGTGGCATCACTTGTGTTATCGAGTTCAACCTTAAGTATTTTCGTAGTATCATTAATAAATATGCACGATTTAAATTATATATATATATATATATATATAAAGAGAGTGAAAAAGAGAGAGAGGATAACATTGACTAGTCATTTGATAGAGGTCGGATGAAATTTGTTGAAAGCCAGCTTAATTAAGTTAAATGGACCTGATCAAAATTTTGGAAATGTTTTGTAATTTTTATCGAATTCGGATATTTATTGCTAATAAAAATTCCATCCTATATTCACATCATATTTTTAAATTCGGATTTTAATCGACCGTGATTTGATACGACAACTATGTATTATTGTTCCACAGGTGCACCGTAACTCCTATGCTCTAGTGGTGAGCACAGAGAACATAACTCAAAACTACTACTTAGGCAACGATCAGTCCAAGTTTCTAGTCAATTGCTTGTTCCGTGTTGGTGGGGCTGCCATTCTCCTCTCTAATCGGTCGTCTGATCGAAAATCATCAAAGTACCAGCTCATCCATACCGTCCACACTCACACCGCAAGTTTTAACCCTTCATACAGTTGTGTTTTCCAAGATGAAGATCAAGAGGGAAAGGTGGGGGTCAGCATCACCAAAGATCTCTTGTTCGCGGCAATCAAAGCCATAGAATCCAACGTCACTACACTAGCTCCTGTAATCCTCCCTATATCTGAACAACTCCGTTTTTCCGTGAATTATATTTTAAGATGCCTCCACGTGTCAAACATCCAACCGTACATTCCAAATTTCGGCAAGGCCGTTGATCACTTTTTCCCGCATGTTGGTGGGAAACCAGTACTGGACGAACTGCAGAAAAACTTAAAGTTAAGTGAGGCCGCCATGGAAGCTTCTAGAATGACATTGTATAGGTTTGGGAATACTTCTAGTAGTTCAGTGTGGTACGAATTAGCCTATGCTGAGGCCAAAGGTAGAATCAAGAAGGGTGATCGTGTGTGGCAGATTGCATTTGGATCTGGCTTTAAGTGTAGCAGTGTGGTTTGGCGTGCGATGAGGACCGTTGATCGTGAAAAGATGAATCCATGGAGCGATGAGATTGATGAGTTTCCCGTGGACTTGCGCAACGTTAAACCATTCAGTAGTGACTATTTCAAGCCATCTAAATAACTAGGAAAACAAAGAACCTTAAATTCAATCTTCCGGAATAAGGTATTGGCTTATGTAAGGTATGTGATACCGATGATTATGTTTTGTCAATTGTTTTCCTCTCTCTGTTTTACAACATCCAACCCAGGAATCGAAAACTAAAGTATTGTTTCATGAATGTAATATTAAATATTTTTACCGTTATAATTCTGTATTTTCTTTTCCCAAATTTATTCTCTTTCTTTAATCGTAATTGCTACACTATAGTACACACACACATTAAGATACGTATAAACTGTGTTTACAAAATAACAATTCAACATGTCACAATATTGCACATCAAATGAGAAGAAAATACCAAAGATTCAAGTGCCTATAAATTTACCTTGTGAAGTAAAGCATCATGAATTCAATAAGGCAAGTGGAGAATTTTGGTACCCTTCAATTTCACCAGCCTATTCCTGTGGTAGAACTGCTCTCTAGCCAAGCTCCTGACTTGCGTGATGTACATTCTAAAACTCACAACCCCTTTTTCAACTGCCTTGTCTAATTCGTATATCAAATCCTCCAAACCCATATCTTCAGCCTTCCAATCAATGATCATCTTCGACTCCTCATCTACAGCTTCAAATACATCATCAATATCATCACCCACCATTGATGTTCCTCCAGAGTATTTCTTATCATAAACTCTCAACCAATTGATCAACACATCAGCTTCTTCACTCAGGTCTCTTACTCTTTCCTTCAACTTCTCTCTTTCTTCATCTAACCCAATGATAATACCTGTTGTTACATCAACTCTCTTCACCATTTCAGCTTGAAGGCTTGATAGTTCCTCTATTTCTTCGTCTGTTTTCGTCCTCAAGGCCCTCATGTCATGGTGAATTTTACACACCAGACGATCCATGGCCTCCATTTTTGAAGGAATAGAAAGATGGGTTGCGCTAGAAGTTGTTGAGTAGCAGTAGAAAGGATGGTTGTGGGAAAAGAGCTTGACAAGGTTGTGAACAAACTCTGAGAGGTTGCTTCGAGGGTAAAACCATGTTTGAAGGTAAGGCGAGGTGATAGAACCAGATGAGTCAACAAAAGGATGATCAGGATGAATTGGGTACATAGAATTTGGAGAGAGAAAGACAATAGGGGCCATGCTAGGGTAGTTTTCATGAACCCAAATGGTTAAAAAGATGGCCGGGACGGATCGAGACACAGAGAGATCACCGTTTATGTTCAAAAGGTTGACGGTGGCACCATCGTTGTGGGTGAAGGTGTTCATTGAAGGATTGAGAGAAGGAAATTCTTGAAGGAGAGTAATGAGGTGTTCTCTAATTACCCATTTTTGTTCAGGGTCTGTGTAGGATAGAGCAAATGAGGTGCTTCCATAGAGAGCAGCGTCTATGAATTGGATTGAAGAGAGAGAAACCATTATGAGAGACACTTTGATTCAGCTGAGAAAATTGTGTTCTTCTACAAGAAGGATTTAATATGCGACTCACTAGTATGCATGAATTGATGTCTTCTGGTTTTTCAAAACCAATAGAAAAGGACTTGAAAGGTTGAAGTCGTCTTTGGTTGAAGTTATTAAGATGATTTTAGCTTTAGGTGGTCGGAAGTTTCCGAGTTACAAATAAAAGGTGATTTTTCAACCTTATCTCCATCAAGACATTAAAGAAGTAGTCAACTGTTACATACGTTCAACCACTGCAATTTCCGTGCCAGAAGTATATGAACAGTAAAACTATATCCACCGACGTTAGGGGCGGTTTGTTTGATTGGTTTGGGCGAGTTTGGAATAATGGGTTTAAGAAAGAGCTATATTATTCGGACATAAAAATTTAATTTTATTAGTTGATTTGATGATGTGATTTTATTGAAATTATTAAATAAGAACGAGTTTTAATGTTTAATGGAATCTAATAGTCAATTGAAAGGTCATGGTTAATCAAATCAGCAAATAAAGTTAAATTTTTAGATCTAAATAGAATTATTTACTAGTCCAATAAACCATTTTATTTCATGTTTGATTAAGACTTTTAAACAAATAATTCATATCTCGGCCCAAAACTGAGTTGAATAATTAAACCCATTAATATGGGTTTCAACAAACCAGGGGGAGTCGGGTTTAAAATCAACCAACCTAGGTTATAATGATAAAATGACTTTTATATTAGGGAAAAATAAAAATCGGTACAAAAATTTAAACTTATTTGAACTAAAATACAACATGAAAATTTATTTGAGCTCAAGTGCATTTTTTTTAAAATAATGACCAAAAAGCCATTAAGTTGAAAGGAAAGTAGTGCAAAACCGATTTTAATCTGAAGCGTCATCTACGACTCCATTAAAGAAAAAGGTGGAAATTCAAAAATTTTGCAAGGATTTAGAAGACAATAAAGTTTTACTCTGGGATGTCATTTAAGGATTGCAATTTTAATTTGATTACTTTCCACATTTTTCATGAATACAAAAAATACTTTCTATATTTCAGGTTCAAAGATTTTTGCAATTTTTTTGGTGAAATTATTTGGTATATGTCGTTGTTGTAGCTTTTTATTGTCACTGGATGATATAACTGTCAGGTGTAACACTTTGGTTTACATGTCGTTACTTTATTTGTTTGGTATCCCTGTATGATGTACATCGTTGGTGTAATTTTTTAGTTCACCCAATTTGATGTGCACAATTGATGTTATTATGTAGTGATACAGAATAATGTAACTCTTTGGTCTAACTAAACAATTGAATGATATAATGGATTGATTAGTGTCACTATTTTCATGACACATGAATAACTATTTGGTGTATTGTATAGTAATTGTAACTAATTGGTATCTCATAATTGGTGTAATTGTTTGGTCAAAATGTCTTTAGAACATATGAATGAATTATTGGTGTATCATAGAACAATTGTAACTGGTTGGTGTCATATAATTTAAGTAATTGTTTAGTATAATATTTATTTTTTCAAAACACGTGAATAATTATTTGGTATATCATAGGTCAATTCTAACTGATTTGTATAACTGCTTGATCTAACTGTTTTCAGAAACCATGAATAAATTATTAGTGTATCATAAGCCAATTGTAACTGGTTGATGTCGGATATAATCAATAATTGTTTAGTTTAACTATTTTCAAATTACATGAATATAAAAAATACAGTTTAAAATTCAAAAGAATGATAGTATCCAATAATATCTTTACATATTTGATTAGATACATAACTGACAATCAATCATACATAATTTAAGAGAAGGTAATTAAGTAAAATATTTTTAATTTCATTTGAATTTTGTATATAAACAGAAGATGTTTTATTAAAATTGCACTTAAGATAGTAAACAACTTATCTAAAAATTGTACCAACATCCAAAAAACCTAATATTATTAATCTATCCAATTAAAAGGATTGAATAGGATAATTTAATCAATTATATGACAAATATTTAGTTATAATTGTGATTAATTCATGAGTCTGACATATATTTATGCTACTTATCAAACAAAGGATTAGAGATAATTTCTATATGAATCTCATGTACAAAAAAGAAACTTTGGGTTTGCAAGAGTTTCCTAACAGTAATCAAATCCCTCTCCATTCTAAAACCATCCGAACATACTTTTTTTGATTGATCCAATTTATTGTTGTCTTTTAATTGCTACATTTGGCTGCTTGATTGGTCTCAATCAATATAGGGAATCATTATCAATCTAGTAACAAAGAGTAATCTACATTAAGTGATTCGAAACATTGCATAATTACTTTTTTAGGGTTTTGTAATTTTATGAACGCGTGTGATATGAATACTTGGCCGAAAAAAGGAAGGTGAGCTTCGAATCTAGGCCGGCTCAGTTTGATGGGATAAACAATCCCTTAACAAGGGTGTGAGAGTCATTCCTCCAAACTACACCCTCAAACAATAAAACATGCTCTCTATGGTGGTTTGTTTTTTCAACCGTTAGAGATATCTAGATCAATTTTCACGTACTTTGATTAATCTTTTTTTCGGTCTGATCAAAACCAGACCATTTGGCCCCAATAACTTGTCAATATTCAAATTCAGAATATTTAAATTTACAGATCATTTATGCTACCACTTGAATTTATCCTTTGAGATTATCGTTATTTAAGGTTGTTGACCAAATGAAAATGAAGAATAGTGGGCCACCAAGGGGATTAAAAAATTCACGTATAAAAAACAACCTAAATATCATAATCCATTGGTTGAGTGGAAAAGTAGACAAGAAGACTATCCTACAATTGAGGGATAGAGACAGAAATTTAAGAAACATAAACAAGTCACTCGCTTGCGTCTTCCACAGGCCAGAGTTTTCTAACGATTAGGTGCGAGTTTGGGGGGTATATATCATTACAATAAACTGCCAATGTCGTATAGCAGACTTTTTCATCAATATGGCCATATGAGAAGCTCCGCTTCTCATGGTTGAAGATTTGAATTTAAGAGTTTATATTTAAATTCAGTGGTTGACCGTTATATTAGTCTAGTTAGATTCGTTCTTAGAAGAAATAATGAGAGTGGTCAGAGGTTTTATGATCTCATTAGTTAGAGCCTATTACGGTGGTCTTTGGACACTCTTTTTTGTCCCTACTCTTTTTCGATTTTGCCAAAAAAAAAGAAGAGGACATATGAGGTCGATAGATTTATGATGAGTGTTCTAAATTTGATTATCTCGACTTGATCTTGAATGTGAACTTAAAAAAAAATATGATTAATAACATTTTTTATTCTGAAAGTATGCATTTTTATCAATTTAGTCCTTAAAATATCAAATTTATTAATTTGGTTTATAAAGTATTCAATTTGTATCACTTTAGTCTCTAATCAGACAATTCATAAANGTATGCATTTTTATCAATTTAGTCCTTAAAATATCAAATTTATTAATTTGGTTTATAAAGTATTCAATTTGTGTCACTTTAGTCTTTAATCAGACAATTCATAAATTTTTTTTTACAGAAGTGACCATGTGTCACTTTTTCAAACGGTATCACGTGTCTAACACATAATCATTCCGTAAAAAATTTAACGGTTCTTCTATGTAGAGATAATTTTGACACAAATTATATATTTTAAAAATCAAATTGACAAAATTAATACTTTAATGATCAAATTAATAAAAAATACATATTTTAATGATCAAAATTATTATTAACCCTAAAACATATATTGTTTGGTAATGTTGTTAAGTACTTTCATATTTTGTTTTTTTTTTCGTCGGTTAATAACAGGGATGAGGGCAAAAAAGAGCGCCCGCGGCCCCCCTTTAGGCCCTCACCAGTGAAATCATAAGACCATTGACCGCGCCTAGGTGAGGAGAAAGACTGGTACCACTACTAGACCACCCTACTCGGAGATACTTTTATTTATTTTTGTTACTTTTTGCTTTATTGAGGATTGATTCGGTCTTTGACTTTAATTACATATACAACAATAATATACAGATGGGCTTATTTAAGTATATGGCTTGGCCCCAATTTGCAGGCTGTGGCCTGCGGCTTTAACAATTCCGTGCCGCAATTAAGAACAAATTTGTAGTTCACAATTTACCTACTCACAATTTTCAATACAAAATTGTGAGTAGGTATAAAAATTGTGAGTAGGTATATTATGAACTACATACTTGTACGAAAATACTTTGAAAAAAAAAGTGTTATAGGTAAGTATTACTATGATAAAATGCATTGTATATACATATACAATGACATATTTTTTTATTCTTCTTTTTATTATAATACATTTTTTCTATTTTTATGGTGTTTGAATTTTGATAGTTTTTTTTTATATGGAATTTAGTATTATTGATAGGCAATTTCTTAGTTTGAAAGATTTTTTTTTTTTTTTAACGTCTAAATCGTCTATTTTTTTTTTAAGATAAGAAATATTATTAGACCAAAAGCCGGATGGTGTCTAAATCATCCATAAATGACACATGATCTTAACTAAAACCAACATCTGTTTTGAAAACAACGAGGTCATCATTTGCTGTGTTACCAATCCTTCACGACTGCGGTCATCTTCTGAGTCTTCATCTGCGGTCATCATTTGGGTTATTGTTTGACTGTTCGTATTATACTTTGATGTTTGCAGTTTAATCACCAATAGTTGCACAGTATTTTGATCTTCATCAATGAATGTTATTAATTATGGGTAATGTTTTTAGTCTATTTGATACTTGGAATGTCACACTGAAATGTTATTAATTACGGGTAATGTTGCACTGAAATGTCACACTGTTACATTTTTTGATACATAAAAATTTATTTTGTCAATGCTACGGTGAATACAATTTCTCATTTTATGCAATGATTAATTTGTTATTCAAAGTGGGAAATTGTCATGTTGGACTGTAATATCATACTGTTACAGTCTTTTTTGGGTAATTAACCAGTTCTAAAATAATGTTATTAGTATAATATTACC